CCAAAATGAGTCTTATTTTGGCAAATACTAGCCCCACCCACTCGCCCTTTGTTTTCTTAGATAGAATATCATTTGCCAAAATCAGTCTTATCGTAGCGAGTACTACTCAATTTTTCAGTTTTTCAACTTTCGAATTTTTCAATTTTTCGCTTTCTAAATTTTCAACTTTTTGATCTGTATTTCCATTTTTTGTTTCTCTGGGCAACTGAAAAGAGCTTTCGATTTTTTAATTTTACAATTGTGGCAGTTTTCCGATTTCTCAATTATGTATCTGATTTTTAAAAATATCGAGAAAATAGATATTTAAATTTTTTAAATTTTCGATTTTTGATTTTTCGCTACCGAGTTTTTGGAAGGAAGCAAAAAGTAATTTTGATCAGCGATTGCCATGTTTACCGTAACTTTAAAACATTTCAAAAATTTTGTTTCTAATTTTCAATTTTTGGATTTTTCAATTTTTCAAAATTTCGGTTCGAATAAATTTGTTGTTTTAGTTAAAAAAATCCAAAAATGACAAATCGTGAAAAGGAAAAATTTTAACTTGCGAACTTGAAAAATCAAAAGAATGGGATTAAAAACCGCAAAATTGTCAAACAACTTATCAAATGAAATATTCAAAAGTTGAAAAATCTAAAAAGTAAAAAAAAAAATGAAAACTGGAAATTCAAATTCGATTTTATAAGATTTTTTTTTAAATTTTTCGATATTTCAGTTTTTGATTTTCCAATTAAATAGTTGTATAATTTTCCGATTTCTCATTTATCCAATTTTTTTAATTTGTCATTCTTTTGATTTTTACGTTTTTTTATTTTTAGCAAGTACTAGCCCCCCCACCCACCCTTTATTTTCTTAGAAGAGTGCATCATTTATCAAAATCAGTCTCATCTTACAAGTACTAGCCCCGCCCACCCATCCTTATTTTCTTAAAGGATATGTTATTTGCAAAAATGAGTCTCATATTAGCCAAGATAAGACTGATTTTCGCAGATGACCTATTCTTTATTTTCTTATAAGAGTACGTCACTGGCCAAAATGAGTCTTATTTTGGCAAATACTAACCCCACCCACCCGCCCTTCGTTTTCTTAGAGAGAATATCATTTGCCAAAATCAGTCTTATCGGAGCGAGTACTACTAAATTTTTCCGTTTTTCGATTTTTCAACTTTTGAATTTTTCAGTTTTTCAACTTTCAAATTTTTCAATTTTTCGCTTTCTAAATTTCAACTTTTTGATCCGTCTTTCGATTTTTGATTTCTCTGGGCAACTGAATAAACTTTCAATTTTTTTATTTTACAATTTTGTCAGTTTTCCGATTTCTCAATTATTTGATTTTTAAAAATATCGAGAAAATAGATATTTAATTTTTTAAATTTTCGATTTTTGATTTTTCGCCATCGAGTTTTTGGAAGGAAGTAAAAAGTAATTTTGATCAGCGATTGCCATGTTTACCGTAACTTTAAAACATTTAAAAAATTTGTTTCTAATTTTCAATTTTTGGATTTTTCAATTTTTCAAAATTTCGGTTCGAATAAATTTGTTGTTTTAGTTAAAAAAATCTAAAAATGACAAATCGTGAAAAGGTAAAATTTTAACTTGAGAACTTGAAAAATCAAAAGATTGGGATTAAAAACCGCAAAATTGTCAAACAACTTATCAAATGAAATATTCAAAAGTTGAAAAATCTAAAAAGTAAAAAAAAATGAAAACTGGAATTTCGAATTCGATTTTATAAGATTTTTTTTTTAATTTTTCGATATTTCAGTTTTTGATTTTCCAATTAAACAGTTGTATAATTTTCCGATTTCTCATTTATCCAATTTTTCAATTTGTCATTTTTTTTATTTTTACGTTTTTTTATTTTTAGCAAGTACTAGACCCCCCCCCCAGCCTTTATTTTCTTAGAAGAGTGCATCATTTGTCAAAATGAGTCTCATTTTACAAGTACTAGCCCCGCCCACCCACCCTTATTTTCTTAAAGGATATGTTATTTGCAAAAACAAGTCTCATACTTGCCAAGATAAGACTGATTTTGGCAGATGACCTATTCTTTATTTTCTTAGAAGAGTACGTGACTGGCCAAAATGAGTCTTATTTTCGCAAATACTAGCCCCACCCACCCGCCCTTTGTTTTCTTAGAGAGAATATCATTTGCCAAAATCACTCTTATCGTAGCGAGCACTACTAAATTTTTCCGTTTTTCGATTTTTCAACTTTCGAATTTTTCAGTTTTTCAACTTTCGAATTTTTCAATTTTTCGCTTTCTAAATTTTCAACTTTTTGATCTGTCTTTCCATTTCTTATTTCTCTGGGCAACTGAAAAGAGCTTTCGATTTTTTAATTTTACAATTGTGGCAGTTTTCCGATTTCTCAATTATGTATCCGATTTTTAAAAATATCGAGAAAATAGATATTAATTTTTTTTAAATTTTCGATTTTTGATTTTTCGCCACCGAGTTTTTGGAAGGAAGTAAAAAGTAATTTTGATCAGCGATTGCCATGTTTACCGTAACTTTAAAACATTTCAAAAATTTGTTTCTAATTTTCAATTTTTAGATTTTTAAATTTTTCAAAATTTCGGTTCGAATAAATTTGTTGCTTTAGTTAAAAAAATCCAAAAATGACAAATCGTGAAAAGGTAAAATTTTAACTTGAGAACTTGAAAAATCAAAAGTTTGGGATTAAAAATCGCAAAATTGTCAAACAACTTATCAAATGAATTATTCAAAAGTTGAAAAATCTAAAAAGTAAAAAAAAATGAAAACTGGAATTTCGAATTCGATTTTATAAGATTTTTTTTTTAATTTTTCGATATTTCAGTTTTTGATTTTCCAATTAAACAGTTGTATAATTTTCCGATTTGTCATTTATCTAATTTTTCAATTTTTCATTTTTTTTATTTTTAGCAAGTACTAGCCCCCCCACCCAGCCTTTATTTTCTTAGAAGAGTGCATCATTTGTTAAAATCAGTCTCATCTTACAAGTACTAGCCCCGCCCACCCACCCTTATTTTCTTAAAGGATATGTTATTTGCAAAAATAATCAGTCTCATACTTGCCAAGATAAGACTGATTTTGGCAGATGACCTATTCTTTATTTTCTTAGAAGAGTACGTCACTGGCCAAAATGAGTCTTATTTTGGCAAATACTAGCCCCACCCACCCGCCCTTTGTTTTCTTAGAGAGAATATCATTTGCCAAAATCAGTCTTATCGTAGCGAGTAATACTAAATTTTTCCGTTTTTCGATTTTTCAACTTTCGAATTTTTCAGTTTTTCAACTTTCGAATTTTTCAATTTTTCGCTTTCTAAATTTTCAACTTTTTGATCTGTCTTTCCATTTCTTATTTCTCTGGGCAACTGAAAAGAGCTTTCGATTTTTTAATCTTACAATTGTGGCAGTTTTCCGATTTCTCAATTATGTATCTGATTTTTAAAAATATCGAGAAAATAGATGTTTAATTTTTTAAATTTTCGATTTTTGATTTTTCGCCACCGAGTTTTTGGAAGGAAGTAAAAAGTAATTTTGATCAGCGATTGCCATGTTTACCGTAACTTTAAAACATTTCAAAAATTTGTTTCTAATTTTCAATTTTTAGATTTTTAAATTTTTCAAAATTTCGGTTCGAATAAATTTGTTGTTTTAGTTAAAAAAATCCAAAAATGACAAATCGTGAAAAGGTAAAATTTTAACTTGAGAACTTGAAAAATCAAAAGATTGGGATTAAAAACCGCAAAATTGTCAAACAACTTATCAAATGAAAAATTCAAAAGTTGAAAAATCTAAAAAGTAAAAAAAAATGAAAACTGGAATTTCAAATTCGATTTTATAAGATTTTTTTTTAAATTTTTCGATATTTCAGTTTTTGGTTTTCCAATTAAACAGTTGTATAATTTTCCGATTTCTCATTTATCCAATTTTTCAATTTGTCATTTTTTTGATTTTTACGTTTTTTTATTTTTAGCAAGTACTAGCCCCCCCACCCAGCCTTTATTTTCTTATAGGGTTTTTCATTTTTGAAAAAGTTGAAAGATAACACTGATTTTGGCAAATGAGAAGCCCTCTAAGAAAAGAGAGGGTGGGTGGGCGGGGCTAGTACCTGCTAGGATAAGACTGATTTTGGCAAATGACATATTCTCTAAGAAATTTAATTAAATCATTATAAGAAAAGACATTAGAGGCTCCAAAGCACTTTCATATTCTTTCCAATCAGGAATACCTAGAACCTCAAGATTGTTTAAATTTTTCAAAAAAAAAAAAAAACGGTTCCGAAATTAACTCAAAAACAAGTCAGGTCAGAGTTTTCCAAAAATAGTCAAGTCAAAGTCCGCCAAAATTGTTTTAAATAATTTACAAAAAAAAAAAAATCTCCATGGGTTCCTAAAATAATACCCCATGGGTATCCAAGAGTCTCCCGAATTAAAAAAAAAACACTGCGGCACTAAAGACTTTTTCAAATTCATAAAAAATAAAACACTAAAAGCTCAAAAGATTTTTTTCAAGTTCATCCAGCAACAAAACACCAGATTCCTTTAAATTTAGCGGAAAATAAAACATCAGAAAAATATAATCAATGATAATAGGCGAAAATACATCGATTTATAAAAATTGGAACACACAATGAAAAAAAATCCATTTAAAAAATTATCACTTTAGATAAAATGATGGATAACGAAATTTTCTGTTTGCAACAGGTTTTTTAATAAATACCGGTTTGACAAAGATTTATATAAAACTGAGAATAGGCCAAAAATAAAAACAATAGGAACAATAGGTTAAAAAACTTATATCAATTATTTTTGATTTACTTATTTTTGCAACCAGAAATCTTGATTTATTTTAGCAGCGACTTTTGAAATTATTAAATATGAAATAAATTCTTGTAAGAGATCTACAAACGGAGAAGGAAAAATCAAATGTTTAGGAAACTTAAAGTTGGCAAAGTTCTGTAAAGTCACAGAAAATAAAAAGCCTCTGATAAGGCAAATAAAAAATCTCAACCTACCTTTTCCTGAAGCAGCTTCAATATATGAAATGCACTTTGTAAGTAGCTCTCAAACTGTTCATTGCTTGGCTGATGTATAAACTTCAACAAACATTTCACTAAGTCCGCCAGGTCCTGTTCATTAATGTTATTCGGAGTCGAAAGATTCGAATAACAGGCATTGCACACAGCCACGATAATTTTAACGGCGCTGCTATTCTTCAAGTTGAGGTTATTAGCGGTGATGTTATTAAATGTATGTTGAAAATTTGCCTGCAAACATTGGTCAACTAAGGACTTCGTAGAGACTTCTCGCGCCATGTCTTTTTAGGTTAGGCACCACTTGGTTAAAACGCTAGTTGGTGTGCACGTAATTGCATTAAAAGGTTACTGGGAGAGTCTGAAATAAATAATAGATTAGTAAATGGCAAAATCGATATGTAAGTGATTGCATTACCATAAGAATAAAATTAGACTTTTTAAATATTCAAAACTTGCACGACCGTTTTTCTGAGCAGGACTTTTTCAGGTGTCAAGGTTGGGGATAAAGATAATGTTACTAGATCGATGACGGTGTATTGTTGGTTGCATAGACGATGGTTCCTTCGAAGAGAAATGGAGCAGTGGCGTCGCGTAAGAAAGAAAATGGGAACACATCGTATGTAAGAAAGTCCTAATATAGAAAGGGATTTTTTATTTCTATAGTTGCTATTTTTGGTATTAAAATAAATATCACTGTCAATAATGTCACTTGAATTGAAATTTGTTCATATCAACTGAAACTTTACTGAATTTTTAATGTACCATGGGGGACACGGAAAACTGGGCAGAGATGTTACACAATTGTCAAAATTTCTAAACCAGGCCTTAGCTATTCATAACCACGCTTTTAATGTTTGGCGTATTTCTCATTTTGACACTGACAAAGTTGAAGTTTTATTAAATTTGTTTCAATTGTACTAGCATGCAGCTACTGCTCGGGATTTGTTAAAAATTGATACAGCTGGCATGTCGAACCAATTGATATATTTCAAAGTTAATTTGACAGTTTTTCTCAATCAAAAAATTAAAATATCTGAAAATTGAAAATCCAAGCATCAAAAAATAGTAAAATCGAAAAATGTAAAATTTTAAAAATCCGATAATTGAGAAATAAAAAAAAAGAAAAATCAAAAATTTAAAAATTCGAAAAATTGAAAAATTAAAATATCGAAAAATTGAAGAATTGGGAAATCGAAACACCAAAAAAATCAAAAAAACAAAAATCTAAAATTCAAAAATCAAAAAATTGAACACTCGAAAAGCCAAAAAGTCGAAAAATCGAAACATCGGAATGTTCAAAAACTGAAACATCGAGAAATCAAAACATCAACAGTAGAGGAGTCAAAAAATCAAAAAATTAAGAAATCAAATTAGACCAAAATTGAAAAAACGAAAACTTAATAATTGAAAAATTGAAACATTTTAAATGAAAAAAAAAAACGGTAAACCGAAAAATTGAAAAATCTAAAAATCGAGAAATTGAACAATCTAAAAATTAAACAATTTAAAAATCGAAGAATTGGAAAACCAAAAAATCTAAACCGAGAACTTGAAAAATTGAATAATCGACAAATCAAAACATCAAGGAAAACAAAAAAATTAATGGAAAATCTAGAACTTAAAAATGGAAAAATTAAAATACCTATCCAAAAATTGAAAAACCGAGAAATCGAAACATCAAAAAATGGAAGGAAAATTGAAATATCGAAAAAATGAAAAAATTCAAAACTGAAATCTTGAAAAACTGAAAAATGGAAAGAAAATTGAAGAATCGGAAAAGTGAAAAAATCCAAAACTGAAACATTGAAAAATTTAGAAATCGAAAAATTGAAAAATCACAATTGAAGAAAGAATTGAAAAATCGAGAAATAGAGAAATGGGAAAATCAAAAAATCAGTTAATCGAAAAATTGAGAAATCGAAAAATTTAGAAACGTCAAAAATTGAAAACTGAAAAATAAGAAAATTCAAAAATCGTAAAACTGGAACATCGGAAAATTGAGAAATCGAAAAATGAAGAAATTCGAGAAACCGAAAATATGAAGAATCGAGAAATCGAAGAATCGATAAATTGAAAAATCCCAACAGTAATATATCGAAAAATTGAGAAATTGAAATCGAGCAAAACTGAAGTATCGTAAAGTTAATAAATTGAAAAACTGAAAATTTTTGAAAAAAAAAATTCGTATCAAAAACTCGAAATTCAAAAAATCGAGAAATTGAACAATCTAAAAATTAAACAATTTAAAAATCGAAGAATTGGAAAACCAAAAAATCTAAACCGAGAACTTGAAAAATTGAATAATCGACAAATCAAAACGTCAAGGAAAACAAAAAAATTAACGGAAAACCTAGAACTTAAAAATTGAAAAATTAAAATACCTATCCAAAAATTGAAAAACCGAGAAATCGAAACATCAATATATGGAAAAATTGAAGAACCGAAACATTGCAAAATCCCAGAACTGAAATAATGAAAAACTGAAAAATGGAAGGAAAATTGAAAAATCCAAAAAAATGAAAAAATTCAAAACTAAAATCTTGAAAAACTGAAAAATGGAAAGAAAATTGAAGAATCGGAAAAGTGAAAAAATCCAAAACTGAAACATTGAAAAACTCAGAAATCGAAAAGTTGAAAAATCACAATTGAAGAAAGAATTGAAAAATCGAGAAATAGAGAAATGGGAAAATCAAAAAATCAGTTAATCGAAAAATTGAGAAATCGAAAAATTTAGAAACGTCAAAAATTGAAAACTGAAAAATAAAAAAATTCAAAAATCGTAAAACTGAAACATCGGAAAATTGAGAAATCGAAAAATGAAGAAATTCGAGAAACCGAAAATATGAACAATCGAGAAATCGAAGAATCGATAAATTGAAAAATCCCAACAGTAATATATCGAAAAATTGAGAAATCGAAATCCAGCAAAACTGAAGTATCGTAAAGTTAATAAATTGAAAAACTGAAAATTTTTGAAAAAAAAAAATTCGTATCAAAAACTAAAAATTCAAAAAATCGAGAAATTGAACAATCTAAAAATTAAACAATTTAAAAATCGAAGAATTGGAAACCAAAAAATCTAAACCGAGAACTTGAAAAATTGAATAATCGACAAATCAAAACATCAAGGAAAACAAAAAAATTAACGGAAAATCTAGAACTTAAAAATTGAAAAATTAAAATACCTATGCAAAAATTGAAAAACCGAGAAATCGAAACATCAAAAAATGGAAAAATTGAAGAACCGAAACATTGCAAAATCCCAGAACTGAAATACTGAAAAACTGAAAAATGGAAGGAAAATTGAAAAATCGAAATAATGAAAAAATTCAAAACTGAAATCTTGAAAAACTGAAAAATGGAAAGAAAATTGAAGAATCGGAAAAGTGAAAAATCCAAAACTGAAACATTGAAAAATTCAGAAATCGAAAAGTTGAAAAATCACAATTGAAGAAAGAATTGAAAAATCGAGAAACAGAGAAACGGGAAAATCAAAAAATTAATTTATCGAAAAATTTAAAAACGTAAAAAATTGAAAACTGAAAAATAAAAAAATTTAAAAATCGTAAAACTGAAACATCGGAAAATTGAGAAATCTAAAAATGAAGAAATTCGAGAAACCGAAAATATGAAGAATCGAGAAATCGAAGAATCGATAAATTGAAAAATTCCAACAGTAATATGTCGAAAAATTGAGAAATCGAAATCGAACAAAACTGAAGTATCGTAAAGTTAATAAATTGAAAAGCTGAAAATTTTTGAAAAAAAAATCGTATCTAAAACCAAAAATTCAAAAAATCGAGAAATTGAACAATAAAAAAATCAAAACATTGAAATCCCAGTAACTTGATAAATAGGAAAATTTAAAAAACAAAAATTTTTAAAATCCAAGAATTGAACAACAAAAAAAATCAACAATTTATTCCTTACTAACTAGAATTTATTCCACCAACTGCTATCAGAGCGATTATAAAATAATTCCGGCGCAACTTCTCTTGACTCAAATAGCTGAATAATCCGTTCTCCAAAGGTGGACTCTATTTAGACAGTACACGATCCTTCTCGAAATCCTACGTCACCGCTTCTAGACTTCTCCGGAATCCCCATTGGCATTGCGGATGAGTCATCACCGGTGTAAGACCAGAGACTTCACGACGCCCATGTCACTTCTAATTGAAATTATAATAAATATTTGATTAACTTATCTAGTATTGTTGGTTGCATATAGTGACTTAAATAAGCTCCATTTCGAGGATTAATTTACCTCAGATTGTACAGTGCGGTGGAAATTGTATACGATATTTTAAAAAACTGTAAAAAATAAATCACTAAATTAAAATATTGTAGTTGAAATTTACTGGAGCTGCAATATTTCATCCAGAGCGGTTATTCATTCCATACACTTTAAAATAAACAGGGTCAACGCAATTCATCAATAAAATCATGTAGGACTTTTTATTTTTGTAACTCCAGAGGTACCAAGGGCATTCGGTGGCCGAATTGAAAACTTCGCTTGTCTGTAAAAACATTAGTCTTGATTTTGAATTCTGAAATCGTAAAATTAAAAAATTTCAAAATGAAAAAAGAAAAGTTATTATATCAAAACATTGCAAAACCCAAAAATTGAAAAAAAAAAATCTAAATGAAAAATTGCAAACGGAAAAATTGAAGAAACGAAAAATTAGAAAATAAAAAAATTGAAAAATTTTAAATAGAAAAAAAGAAATTAATATAAAACCGGAACATTGAAAAATCGAAAAATTGTTAAAATGAAGAAAAATTGTAAATCGAAAATGTGAAGAAATGAAAAATTGAAGAATGGAATAAATGAAACAGTTTTAAAATACGTACATTAACTGCAAAATGGAACAGTTCTGAAATAGTAAAATTGAAAAAGTGAAACATTTTTTAAATTATTATTATCACATATACACAATGAAATCTAGAAAAATGGCAAATCAAAAACTGAAGAAACAAAAAACTGAAAAATCACCAAACTGAAAAATCTAAAATTGAATATGGGAAAAATTAAACAATCTAAAAATTGAAATTTTGAAAAATTGTAAAAATCAGAACACTGAAAAACTGAAAAATTGAAAAAGTAAAGAAAATAAAACCAAAACGAAAAATCGCAAATCAAAAATTGAAAAATCTATAACAGGGAAAAATTGAAAGCTGAAAATCAATGAAATTGTCAATCGAAAAATTGGAAAATCTAAAAACTAAAAAATTCAAAATTTACATAATGGAAAAATTGAAAAATTGCAAATCGAAAAATAAAAAAAAAATTGAAAAAAAAATTATGAAATCGGACATTGAAAATCGAAAAATTTGTCGTAGAAAACTAAGGAGTTTGCAGTTAAGCTCACGACGAATAAAAAAAATCATCACAATTGAGATTTTGCTTATATTTTGCCTTTTTTTATTAAATCAGAACATGACAAATCAGTTAAATTGAGAAAAAAAGGAAACTAAAAGGAAAAATT